GGATGAGATCTCTGATATCACATTATTAATATTCTAGTTAGCGCTCTCATTATGACAGACTTTATTCAATTTTTTTGTTTGTTTTTGCCATGGTCATCTTTTTATTATTTCAATCAATTGACACAATTTTTCACTTCAGTTGCAATGTTAAAAAAGTCTCCCAAGCTTATTGTCTTTGGATAAGTGCTTTGTTATCTCAAGGTGATTTTGAATGATGAGGAAACCAAAGCTTAAACTGCTGAAATTACGTGTCTTTATGTGAGCTGAGAAAACAAGTCAGGGGTGAAAAAGGTGGTAAGGATTAAAGCCATTAAGTCTGTGTGAATGCATCCCTGGAAGAATATTTTGTGGCATTTAAATTAAAAGTGCTAATTTAGTGCATTTTACAGAAAAATCAAGCAAAGTTAAAAGATGTAGACATTCTTTACCTGCAGACTATTTCTCATAATTCCAGCCTTTTATTTATTAAACACCCTTTACATAAACCTTGCCAGGGTTATTTTTATTTTTTTAGCTTAACATTAACCAGTTCAACACCCACAAAACCATTAATTGACAGAAATATCTGTAAAAGATTAGCAGTTATTTTATCTTCAGATGAATGAAAACCAGACTTTTACAGTTCTAACAGTTTGGCCGCGTCACACCCACTGAAATTTCTGACTTTCCTATTATTAACCTAAAATGCCAATTACAAAGAGTCTGTAACACTACCTAAAAATGTTGAAAAGAATAAGAGCTTTATTTAATAATATAAACTATAATGTAAGAACGGACAAAGAAAATAGAAGAGATCTTTTTCTTTGTGAAAATACAAAGAAATGTTTACATCTTAAACAGAAATAGGGGAACTAGGAGAGAGATCTAGTGGGAGATAATGCAAACATTTATTCTGGGTAAGTACAAGCATCCAAACAAAGGACATTTTGCATAACCCCTCAGGAGCAGGAAGAAAGAGAAATAACATTCTGAAGGTAAAAGCATTTTTCATACGTGGCTAGTAGCATAGTTTGCATACAGTATATCAACTGATGAGCGCAGAGACAGTTGAGTAAACAGCTGATGTTAACAGGCTTTTCTGTAGAAGTAGAGTTTGTCAGTTTAGTGTATGTCAGACACATATTGAGACTGTATGCCAGACTGGAAAGCAAACCAGTCTCCTTATATACTTAGATTGGCAACTGTGTGCTGAAGCTGGTGAAACAAAAATAAGCCTCAATACAACAGGCAGCAGTTTGTGGCCAGTACTGGGTACCCTTGCTGACTTCAAAGGTTCGCACTAGCGGTTTATTTTAACCCATAATGAGACATAATGTAGGCAGCTAGTTTAGCCACTAAAGCTAATGCTAGCTTGTTAGTCAACATCACTTTAAAACTTCTCAAGCCGGTTCCTTCAACGTCCACGAAAGTCCAAGTATTCAAATCACCGAGTTGTAACTGTTGGCAGCTCCCGCTTTGGTCAGCACAATCCAACCAGATAGCAGTATTCACACTCATATGTTAATGCTGTAGTTCTATTAGATAAATGTTATTGAAATCAGGGCTCCCTACCAGTTAGTTCAATATCAAACCAACGTCAAGGAATCATCCAAAAAACATCAATAAAATTATATTAACAATAACTCCAATCCTCCGTGTACGTTTGGATCTACACGGGTCCCATTCAGTAGCAGCCAACTTCCAGCCACTTGAGTGACCCCCTCCTTCCCCTAGGCATGCATATTTTTTTACTCCGACTCCACCCTTCCCTGAATTACAGGGTCTGACCAGGAAAAGGCGCTTCTCTTTAGATCTTAAAGGAATAGTACACCCAAAACATGATTAGCCTTCATTTTCTACTCACCCCCATGCTGAACAACACTCTGGAG